CAGCCACAGATAACCATCCTCATACCCCTGTAAGGTGGTTCTTTGCGTGTGGAGAAATTGACGCTGGTATAGTTTTCACACAAGCTGAAGGAAATAGCATAGTACACCCATCCTTGTTATTTCTGATGCAAAGCACCCAGGACTGTTAAGAAGTAAGGGAAGCTGGGGAAATAGGGCGTGTCTCACTCTAGGTCAGAGATGGGCCATAATTTTTTACCGGAGGCCACTTCAGAAATTTTTGAAGTGGCCCCTAGCTGCTCCAGAAGGGATGGGGCTTCAAGTGGAAGGGACGGAGCCAAGATACTTCCCTGTATCCTCACCCACAGACCATGACTGGTTTGGGGGTGGGGGAGTGCGTGAAGCTTTTGTCCCTCCCCCCAGAGGTTTCCCCTAGGCGCCCATACCCCCGGCGGTGGAAAGAGACTTTGCATGCTCCCCCTTCTGCCCCAGGCCAATCAGGGCTCGGGAGTGGGAAAGCGTGTGACATCTCCTCCAGCCCTGCCAAGAGTGCATGGCACTTCTAAACTCTACATGCTCCTTGCAGGGCAGAGGAAACTTTGTGCACTTCCCCACGTTCCCAGGCCCTAATTGGCCTGGAGGTGGGGGAGCAGCAGGGCCTCCATGGGCTGCATCAACCCACTTGGAGGGCCAGATCCGGCCTGCAGAGGCCCTTTTGGCCACCTAGGTAAAGACACATGTAATGTGAAACCACTCTGGCCATGCAATGGTGCCTCAAGGAGGAGAACGTGCCTATTGAGTTGCTGGCAGGGAATGGGTTGGTCCAGCAGTGGGCAATCTAGGTTAGTGAGCAAGCTACACAAGTGGCCTTCTTCATCTCAGTGAACTGCAAGACTGTCGTAACCAAGGCGGTCTCCCGGGATAGGGTAGTTTTGCTAACTGTGCTTGCATAGCTAGAATTTGCCGAGGGTGCCGATTGAACCGTAGCCGCACTTCCATTGGGTACGCATGGAGTGCACGGCTCTCATAGTCAATGTCGTGTGCAATAAACGCGCACCTCCCATCATGTGCCTGTGCTTTACGTGTGTGTCGCTTTAGTAATACCAGTAGGAAAACAACGATGCAGATGGAAACCAGTGGAATCTGGCAACCCGGTGCATTGGCAACTGTCTTGCGGGCCACACATAGAACCCACATGTGGCCCGTGGGCCACCCGTCACTGGTTCAGTCAGTGATACGGGTAGAGGATGGAGAAGAATCAGAACCCGGCACACATCAGCTCAGGTATGAGAATGCTCCAGAGTGGTTGCCTGGCACAAGTCCAGTCCAGAAACAATAAAACCCCACTTGTCCTGCTGGGCGATTCCTGCCACACACATTGGACACCACTGAATTCCTGGATAAAAGAACCTTTCTTCCTGCTGGACGGGCAACATG